CCCTGACGGACACCGCTTTGTGTGCGGAAGCTTTTGGAGAGCTCTCCGTACACTCTCACACGTCCGGAAGTCTGAGAATACAAAGAACGTATTATGTTTACAAACTTCCGGGGCATTCCTTGGTGGGCAAGCGTCTCAAGAAGAACAGACCGATCAACCGAGTCGAATGCGCCTCGGAAATCCAGGAATACTAGAATCGTGGGTCGCTTATACGTATGGCGTTGTTCTAGCACCTGCCGCAGTGTGAAGATTTGGTCAACACAACCCCTACCAGGCCGGAATCCCGCTTGCTGCTCTCGAGTCAGCATCTCACGAGCCACCTAAAGGCGACGAAGCACAATTGACGCCAACAGTCTCGTTACAACCGGGGTCAAGCTGATCCCCCTGTGGTTACCACACTCACACGCGCCCCTATGGGCACTATCACCGATTCTCCCCAGCTGAACGGTTATCATTACTTGTATTATTACAGTTACTATTGTTATTACTCCTTGATGCCACAGGTGTATTATTCGTGATGACTTTGGACTAGGAATGGTCTGGATTAAAACCAGCTGTTCATCCATGAGAGTTAATAAGCCCGCTTTCGGCAGCACCCGGCCCCTGTATGATGCGATGGAACTAATCCGGCGCTGCGATGGATTCTCACATAGGTCACCAGTGTCATCATTCCATTGAGTTCTCACTATTTCCGCCTTCCCTGTGGTAACCCGATCTCTCTGTTGACGATATTCAAAACGCACTTTCGAATGACTATTTCTTATTAGGGCAACTAGGGGAAGCTCGGTTATGGAATTTCCTCCACACTAACCTGTTTAAAACGACCTCTTCTATACAACTCTTCTCTTTCTAACAGGCCCTGAAGGAAGCATCGGAACAGATGCCCAGTGACTCGTCGTGACACACCTTACCGCATAGGCTTCAGAGTCAGATTCCGGAGATTTGCTGTATTTATGTGTGCTGTCTTCACTTACCCCCTTCCTTGTTCGACCAGTGATTATGTGACTATACGTGCATTTCTATATGAACACATTCTAACCCGTATAGTTGCATTTACATGTACTGCTCGACAAATAGCTTTCCTTGCTTTTCCCAGCAGGATGGTAGACGACGATTGGGGGGGGGATATTGTCTGTTTATTGACGACAGATTTTGTGGTGGAAGCACGAGTTAAAGTGATGGGGAGAGAAGTTTGAGGACAGTTGGCACCATATTGGTATACAGGGTGGGGGGGGGGGCATATTGTCTGTTTATTGACGACAGATTTTGTGGTGGAAGCACGAGTTAAAGTGATGGGGAGAGAAGTTTGAGGACAGTTGGCACCATATTGGTATACAGCACACCGGGCGTTGGAATGACGAGCCGGTTAGTACAGTCACGGTATCCTGGAATCTTTTTTTTCGGAAATATCTGGGCCCTGTTTGAAGTCTTGATACTTCTCCGGAGCAGTGGCCGTGGTTTTTCCTTATCACCAAAACGTTCGACCTTTTCTCAAGATGGGTAATAATAGTGGCTACTGTCCGGTGTGCAGGCATTTGTTTAAAGTTATCAGAGAATATATGCTTGACGAAGTCACCTCTGAACGCGGAGTGCAACCTCGGTCGCATTCAGGTCGGTAATGGATCTGGATTACTGAAATATTTGGCTGCCGGGTCATATTTAAAAGTTCATCAGGTTTACATGTGATAATGGCCACACTGGTTCTCAATGGGGACTTATTTTTGATTGGATGCTGTCTTTGGGGCAGTAGTTTCACATCCGCGGACCGCTGTGCATGAGTTGCACGAATGTCTAACTACTGATTAGCTTTGAGTAGCGCATCCGTATATGAATCTTCTCATCCCGAACAGTCCTGCACTGGCGCGGTTGCTCCACTCAGTCCACGTCAAAGAAAAGGTGGGGGGTGCTGATAACCCTGATTCAGTCAGAGTTCGGAGAGTTTCTCGCTGTAGTCGGGATATACCTGGTAAAACTTGAATGGCCAAGGTCGACATCCGCCGTGGCGTTACTCTCGCGTCTGCCCTTACCACCGTTCTGTTTTCCCCTGATGTGATGGTGACCATTCACACTGACTCTTCCGGGCTCCATACATCAGCTTTTTCGGTGCGTGTACGGAGGTTCACGATGACGGATGCCAGTTTATATCACTAACAGGGGTTGAATATGTAGCTGTTGGATCATACAGATACTTTCATCCTTGTATTTAAACGCCTGAAGAGCTAAGCAGTTAATGGATTGGCTTGAATTTGATCTATATAGGTAATTACTTTACCGTCCAACTGAAATCATCGTGGCGTCTCGTACCTCGGGAATCCTGCTTGAGCCTTCTATAAACAATCCTTCGAGGCGTTCCCCTATGCCGAACAGTATGCAACACTAAGTGAACCGTAGCCATCCGGACGGCGAAGCGCTACCGAATTGACCCTCAGTCGCTTAATTTGCTGCCGGATGATTGCGTGCCATTCAAGACAGTCCGGTGGTTTCGGTGGGGGGTTGAGGACCTGATCCTGACATCACCTATCGTACCTTCGTCGGGGTATATGATAGACATGCACCGGATGCTTGGCAAGTGGGTTTTTTAGATTGAATATAAAGACTGCGTATCGCATGGGTGCCACTACAGAGATGTAAAAACTGCCAGTTTCGAGAAATTAAAACTATACATTAGCTAGCTTTAGACGGTGGATGACAGGTGCTTTCGTTATCGGTTACGGCGGCTCGAGTTTGTGATTTTGAATAACAAGAATAGATCTAGGAGTGGGATCGAATTAGACCACAGTTGTGTTGTTCGCGAATGTAGTTCACAGATATTTGCGGAGTTTGTGCTAATTCAAATAAAATCGCGTATCCCCACCGTAGACATTCTGCCAGCAACGTGTTTCAGATGTTCTATTTCACAACTTGCGACATGTGACTTCACCGGAGTCGGTTAATCGGTACAGTCAATGCGCTGGACAGACCTACCGTGTTCTGTAGCGATTCGCTGCCACGCAAATTGGGCGCCACCATCACGGTTGATCGAAATCGTTCAGCTATAGCAGCCTTTCGGTGCCTAACTGCCATGCCACCCGAAGGTTGCAAGAGGGCTGGGATACTGCCAAGTTGCCCAAGCCTAGATGGGGGAAGTCGAGAGGCAGAGGTCTGGTTGGAACCACGGACCTGCCGGTCAGTAAATTCGCGCTCTAACCACTTGGGCTATCTCGTCCCATCACGGTTAATCGCTGCCCCACAGACCTTGATGGTGACGGTCGCCTTGAACACTTGACAGTATGCCGTTACTTGCAAACAGTCAAAAGACTGACGGTTCTGTTGTCACTCACCAAAGGGGCTGTTGTGCAAGCACTGCATCTTGAGTAGTTTGGAAGTAAACCTGTGATCAGCCGTAGCGGAAATAGTGCTGAAAACATCATGCTTATCAGGATATGGGCTTCGGTGGATGACTTGACTGCATTTCCCAGCCTCCGGTGACAACCCTTGGCAACCGTTTGGTGAACGGGGAATGAGTAGCTGTCCGAGCCCCAAAAAGGAAGAAGGTCTTCGCAGTTTTCAGGAGTGATTATGTCTCCCTCATACTGCTCATGAGTTTTGCAACTTTTCACTGTCATGAGGGGGCGAGATGGTTTAAGGGGCTAGAGCGCGAATTTACTGACCGAACTGTCCGTGTTTCGAACCCGACCCCTGCCTTTCGACTTCCCCTGTCTAGGCTTGGGCAACCTGGCAGTATCCTAGCCCTCGTGCTTCCTTCGGGTAGCATGGCATCGGAAGGGCGTTACAGCCGAACGATTTTTTTTCACCATACTGATCTCACTTATGGATTGTGCTACATTAGTTTTAATACATCTTTAAACTGCAAGTTAGGAACAATAACCGGATTAGAGTTATCTTCGCGGAAGGCAATCAAAAAGTCGTTGCTCCAGTTACAAGATGCAGGGAGTCAGTCTCGAGGATATTGTGGATTCGAATGACTTGGTCAAGTTTTCCTCACTCAACGGTAACGGTCGTTGTAAGCGACGGTTTCGGGAAGTCGGTATGCAGTTCTTCATCATGGAGACGTCAGGTTTGTCGTTACACACGAAGTTCTCCATCGCTGTATCCTCAAAACAGTGTTGCTGGTTATATCCCAGCTACCCAAAGTAGTTTAGGCGCCAGTCCTGATCAATATCTGGATGACGTTTTCGGTTCAAGGTGTTCTGAAATCGTTGTGGTTCTTTTGACCTACCTTGGCCAAGCAGACGTGCCTCAGGCTATCTGGAACATTAAATGAAACCGATGGAAATCTGTCAACAAAACAATAGGATCAAGAGGATGTATAGAAATGAGTCATCCAATCCGTAGAATCGAGTTATGAGGAAGCATCTGTAGAGGGTACTATGACATGCGTACAACGTCAGTAGTGGTATCGATGACCAAGCAATTCGTACGATGCAGTAGCGCTCAATGCCGTACGTCGTAAACTTCAACAGAATCTTTACTGTTGCCAGCCAGTCGTCACTTCACACCAGTTCTGAGGTTTCGAACACTGTTGACGGCTTAGAATTCACGCTTGAAACCACTCCTTTCAACTGCTGACTTTGTAATTGATAACAATCAAATATGACATAATTGCTCCGTTGTAAATTGTTCCACTTCTGTGTGCTGGACCACAACTTGTCCGCGAACAAGCTCTGAGTAGTTTACATCATTCCAAGGCCGTACACGATTGACAGAAAACAATTAAAGTAGCATAGGAAACAATGCCATATAAACTAATCAGTCAACCACAATTTTCTATCAAGCCGGGCCACAGTAGGTAGTGTATATGCTACGAAGCCAGCTCTAGTCCATCCCACACGACTAACTGATGTGCTTCTCAGTTTCGTGATTAAAAGCGAGTAACCTATCTCACTAATGGATGTTAATGTACGTTCGCTTTTTCTGACAATCGTTCCAATAAAGCTGGCTCCACGTTGCTCTTGTCCTACGCAAAGTAAATTGAAGGTCAGATCTAATCAGATAGCAGGGTACATATTTTTGAATTCACACTGACACGTAGACAACAGATTTTATTCCCCTTGTACAGGGCACCCGAACACAGGCGTCGTTTTCGGGGGCTCTGACTAATGCGCGCTCTATTCATTGTGTTTTACTATGTGCTAAAACAAAATAGTATATCTGTCCGTCCACAGCAGCGCTGAGAATTTCAGTGCTTGCGGTCGTATCATAACTTTCGGAGAAGGCTGGTAAATGGAGTGGTGTACTCCCGAAACCAGTTTAGATTAGAATATGCAAAATTACATAAATCTTTTGAACAAACTTTCTTCAGTACGGTTCCACACGAACGTCGGGGTTCCAATCATGACACGCGTCGGGTAGGCTGAGCGTGGTCACTTTCAGGGCTAATTTTCAACTGTTCTGTCCGTTCTCTTTCTCATTTTTGTGCCTGTGTTGTTTATCGCGGAGTTTCACCGTCGTGCAGTTGAGGCTTACCAACACTTCGCCACTTGCAGCATAAACCCACCGTGACAAAAAATGCGGGGCTTTACGATCATGGTGATGAAAAGTCACCACGTTGTAAACCTAGTGTGTTTCGATAAAGGAAACTACTCACTAGGTTGCTGAAAACTCTTCGACAGCCGACGATCGGTTTCGCCCTTCTTGGGGCTCATCAAGTAGGCACAGTCCCCGAGTTTCCGTCAACCTTATGTTCTAATTGAACCCCAATTGAACTGTTTTCGAGAAATACACTCATTTGCGAATCAATTTGGTTTTCACAAGAGACCAAACTGAATCTTTCGTTCATGATCTTCTACAACTGAATGTGCTGCACACAGGCCGCCTCATGTTTCAGTTGGGACGATATTCGAAATATCACAGTATATTTTCATGAAGGAAATTACTCACGATATTGCTGAAAATTCTCCAACAGCCCACGACCGGTTTCGCCCTTCTTGGGGCTCATCAATTAGGCGCATTCCCCTGAGTTTCCGTCAAACTTACGTTCTGTGACCCACAAACCTTTCGGTTATGGTCAGTTCTACCCTCAATAGTAATTCGCTCAGTAGTATTACGGCTCCAACGATACCATTTAG